TGTTTTGACAGTGCTGAACGGTGTGACCCATGTAAATCGTGCGTGACTGTATAGCAATTACGTTAGAGGCTTGGGGTCGTCAAATGAGGATTGGGCCCGGCCTGATATTCTCATCTGTTTGGTTCTCCGAAACAAGCAACAGTCATTTTTTTTGGCTCTGTTTTGCAGGTTATGTGGACATTTTCTATTTATCTGGAATCGGTTGCCATCATGCCACAACTTTTCATGCTTTCTCGTACTGGCAGCGCCGAAACTATCACTGCGCATTATTTGTTTGCACTTGGCTCATATCGGTGCGTCCTGCTTTTGCTTGCAATTTTTGAAAAGGCGTAGGCCTTCCCAAAGGCTTGAAAATTCGAACTACAGATTTTCTTGCGAGCGAACTGAGAATTTTGCTGTTTTGTAGAAGAAAACCGAATGTTTTAGCACACTTGCATCGGAACATTAGGCTTTTATTTTTTTGCAAAACAGCAGAAGCAGCGTTAGGCTTTTCTGCAAAGCACCAGGCCTTTTCCTGGAATATTTTCTGAAATGGATTCTTCGCAGGGGTTCGCCACAGAAAAACAGGTTTCAACATAATTTTTGCTTACTGTATGTATCAGGGAATGCCGTATTGCACAGAAATTTGCAGTGACTTTGAATTCGTGGTATTTAGCACAATTAGTGTAGTGACGTGGCACTAAGCGGCAAGACGCGCCTGAATACGGACCCAGGGTGTCTGTGTTGTGTATGGTATGGCGTGTGTGAGTATGTGTGTGTGTGTGTGTGTGGAGCCGAGGGAGAATCGTGATGCGCAGCTAGTCGGCTTTGTCGAGAGCTGGAACTGGAGTTGAACTGATTTATACCGAGCTAAGGCTCGCTTAAAACAGTAGCCACACTTCCCCGATAACGGGTGCTGACCCGTGGGGTAGCAAACAAGGCCGAGACAAAGCAAAAGGAAGTCTGATGTCGTCACAGAGGACCGGCGCTGCTTCTTGGAACATTTGGGGACCATGCTAGTTTCTGACCGGCTCGTAACATCAGCAGCCCCACTAATCATATATATCCAAAGATGGGTTTTTGTGATATTTTAAATATTTCC